ATCGAAACCAAATACGTAAACTAAATATGCATTTTTATTAGAACTTGAAAATAAAACGTAAATCGTAAAAAGAACTAACGAACACACGCCTATTGTGGCTCAGATTATTCAAAGGTATACTCCTATAGAAGAAGAGGAACTTAAAAACAGCAACATGATGGTTGACGGCCAACGGACACCCACCGGTGACCTACTTGACAACCCCAAATCAAAAACCCCACACTTTATTGAAATCAATTTGATTTATGGGGAATCGAACCATAGAAATCCTCACCAATCACTCCCCAAGGCACACAAAAGACTCGCATCTTGATTCTACGGTAAAAATTAGCCGGAAAAACCCAACATCAAACTCACAGTAACTGAAAAAAGAAAATATCACGAGTGATAAAGAGAATTATTTGCGAGAGATGAACACACAAATGACACATATACAATTAGGGTGAAGGGCAGCAGTATATATGATAAAATGGACGGCTCTCATATATGCCCTAAAACTGATGGGTGAGATTTGACTAGGAGGAGAACCGGGTCGCCTGAATGGATTGGGACATCAAACCAGGTTAGAAACGGATCGATTGAAAGTGGATCTTGGGCTTTTAATATTTGTTCATCTTTTTGGTCGAGATTCACGCTGACGGACATGATTCTCATCATAACCACACACCTATACTCAACCACACTTGTAAGTGAATGCCAAAATTAAAATATATGACAAGCTAATCAAAAGTATCAATATTCAGGATATTTAAACACAACTCGAATTTTGAAATTGGCAATGGCTTAGTGCCCGTATTAGCCGGGTTGAATTGGGAAGAATTTTTTTTTTCAAGTTTTATAAGGTATTTAGCAACCGTATCATGTATATTATGAAATATAATATCAATGTGTTTGGTTCTATCATAAAACTGAATTTTTGTACAACTTAATACATGACTGACTATCCAAAAAATCTTAAATATCTCACCTTTAAAAAAACCAATTTATGTCAACAAGCCTTTAAGCCATAAAGCTTCTTTAATTATTTTTGTAACAACAATATATTCATACTCTTTAGTCGACATCGCCACTATATGTTGCAACTGTGACTTCCAATTCAAACAAAAACCAACAATGTAAGCACTTAAGAAATAGTAGACTTTCTACTATCTTTATCATTAGCATAGTTAGAATCCACTTAGCCTTTAAAAAAAAAAAAAAAAAACACCTTCATCGCAATGTTTATATACTAAACCCAAGTTATTTGACCCACAAAAAGTGACGCAACAACCATTTCAATGCAACCGAATGTTCCAACTCCGGATTAGACATGTATCTACTCAAGCAATTGACAACATATGCAATATCGGGTCTAGTATTAGCCATAAGATACATAACCGAACATATGATATTCGAATATGACACATTTTTCGTGTATGCATAATCAAAATTATTTTTAGGACACTGATTTTTACTCAAACAAAAATGAGAAACTAATGGCACATTAACAGCTTTGGAATTGAACATATTAAATTTTTCAGAATTTTATCAATATAGGGGGCTGCTCTAAAAATATACTCTCTTCGTCCCATTGAAAGATTATCATTTTTCATTTTTCGTCTGTCCTAAAACAAGGTTATCATTTCCTAATTTATTAATTGTACTTCTTACCTAACATAATAAATACCCTTCTACTTCCACTATATTACACAAATGTCATTACTTTTATATTACACAATGTTAATAAGAGTATTTTTTTTCTTTTCCACTGCAACATAATATAATACTAATATTTAAAAATTTACGTGCAAAAAGTAAACGATAACCTTTCTATAGGACGGAGGGAATATTTTTGTTTTGCCTATCTCTTTTAATATGCTTTCCTAAAATTACTTTTGCATCACCAAAAAATTTCATATCAAAATGATCACTTAAACACTTATTGATTTGATCTTAATTTTTATATTTGGACTTATTAACAACATAGACAAAATTAAGATTTGGTGGTATGAGACCCCAACTAAATATTTCATGTAGTAGTTTGTTATTGATGATCTCCATCTTTCAACAAACAAACTTACACCTTGAAATTTTGAGAAAATTAGTTATTCGATATTTATTAAAGAATATTATATGTAATTTGTATGTAATTTGGGTAGAAAGAGTTTTTTATTTTATTTTTTTGTGTGTGATCGGAGCTGAGATGAGCTAAGTGAGGCATACACCTAGAAAAGATTTTCGTAAGGAAAAATAAGGTGTCGGGTATATATATGTATAAGTTTGTTTGTTTGTTATTAGTTTGTTATTGATGATCTCCTATATATATATGTATAAATTATATATATATATTTTATTTGATATATATATATATATTTAAAAAATTGTAGTTTAATGGTACGAGAGTGGATTTTAAATAATGAGGTTTGAGCTAAAAACCTTAAAGGTATTTATTATATGAAATTGTTAAAATTAATTTTTTTTATATATGGTATAGGGAAATGTGTATGAAATATAAAAATAATAAATATGTTTAGTGTATTAATTTTTTAAAAAATTTATGAGAGAAAATAATTGAAAGAACAAAGCATTAATGTCTCAAAAATTTGAAAATTTTTTAATACTATATTTTATTTATTAATGTTAGAAAAATTATTTTATATTATTTTTTATATTTTATTATATATAAAAATATTATATATTATTTAAAGGTTCTTTTTCTCTTTTTTTTTTTTTTTTTTTTTTCGACACTTCGAAAATTAGGACCAATCTTTCCATAGTCAAGACGGGCCATGGAATGTGCTTTGTTTATGAACAACATATTTAAATATTAATAACTATGTGCCGTAAGGGATGACCTGGTAGTGTATGAGTTGGACTTGTGACCATGAGATCATGAATTCAAAAACTAAATTTAAAACAAAAATAATACTCCGTCCGTCCCAATAATAATAGTTCTGTTTATCGTTTTTGTCCGTCCCAAAATAATAGTCTCATTTTCATAAATAACCATATCATTGTAAAATTATTCTTACTTTTTTCATTATTATTATACAATTGTCACTACTTTTTATACTAATACACTCACAATAACAAAAAAGGTTTTTACCCATACTTTTTACCCACTATCAATATAATATCAATATTTTGTAAATCCCGTGTTAAACACATCTCAAATTAGGGACTAGGAGGTAGGATAGGGTATATCCGGAATTTATTAATTGGATTTTAATTTGGGAAGCACCGACCGGGAGGGGAGCTCGTGTGCAATGTATGCAGAACAAAAAACATGCCCACTAACATAATTAATTTAACAAAATATTAATTAAAAAAAACTCATATTTATTTAATTATTATCCAATTATTGCTTCTATTATTTAATCCAACTACCTTTCCTCTATATATTTATAAGTTAAACTTTCGTTTAGTTGATTTTTATTTTTAATAAGATAATTGACTAATTGTTATATATAATTATTTGTTTATCTAGGGAGGCGTTTTATTTTCATACTATTCATAATTTTTTTTTTATTAAAAATATCATATTAAATATTAATTTTTTAATTTAATATTATATTAAAAAAAAATTGTATTCAAAATGTTATATAAAAAACATATCTACATTATATCAAAATTGTATTTCAATTTAATATATTATTGCCCTAGTTGCCCTAACATAACAAACTTGTTTTGTTGGTACTTTGTGTTTGGAAATTTTATATATTTTTAGTTTTTTTATTTTTTATTTTTAATTATTTTTTTCAAAAATATTCTTAATTATTTGTTTGCTTTTATAGAATTTTTAATAAAATATTTTTTTTTAAAAAAAATTATGTCACACACAAATGTTCTAATTTTACATGAAGACTAATTTTAAAAATATAGTACTCCCTCCGTTTCATTGGAAGGGTGACGTTTGTTTTTTGCACATAGATTTTTAAATATTAGTATTATATTAGATTATAGTAAAAAAAAAAAATATCCCTAATATTATGGTGTAATATAAAAGCAATAGCATTTGTGTAATATATTGTAAGTTGAAAGGATATTTATTATGCTAAGTATATAGCACAATTACTAAATTAGGATATGATAACTTTGTTTTGGGACGAACGAAAATGAAAAATGATATCCTTTCAATAGGACAGAGAAAATATATTATTAATAAATAATAGTATTTAAATCAATATAAAAAAATATATATAAATAAAGTTTAAATGATTAAAACACAATAATTATAATAATAATGATGATGATGGGTTGTTAAGTAGTACTTATGAGTAAAAATAATTATACAAATATATATAGACCATATTTTAAAATATTGCATGTAATTATTTAAAGCAGAATCCTAGCTGGCATGTCTGAAGGCTGTCTTTACAATTAGGGGACAAATATCTCGTCACATGATATCTTTTCTCCTTTCCTACCACTTTCTCCAATGTACTCATTTTATTATTATTATTATTATTATTATTATTATTATTATTATTATTTATTCTTAATTATTTTATTATTAGTACATTATATGTAAAAAAAAATACTACCTATGTCTTAGATAAGATGGGTACGATAGATACGAAAAGTAATTACCAAGTATATTAATAAAAATAATTATTATTTAATAAAAATAATTATAAATAAAATAATTAAATAGTTTAATTAAAATTAAAAATTAAAAATTTTAAAATTTAAAATATAATTAAAATAAATAAATAATTTTTTTAAAAAAAGTTATGTAGACGCATCAAAATAAAAAATAAGAACAAAATAAATAAACTAACAATTATTAATAGCATTATGTAAGAACCAAAATAACTGTGCTAGAAACTGCTTACCCCTTTCCAATCTTCCATCTTCCGTACACCCAGAATCTCAACTCCAGATTAATCTGTACCGTACGATTTTCTCTATAAACAGTACGGATTGATCTGGTCTTGGAGGTCCATGGTGCAGGTAATTGTTGGCGGAACCGTCGTTCATGTATATAAATACCTTTCCTGTCAGCCGTTTTCCCCCAAATCGACAGCACATAAACCCTAATTTCCCAAATCCGAAATTCGATCGATTCATGGCGTTGATATCTCCAGGAAAACTCAGGTACGATCTCTACTCGCAATCGGAAAATTCCGGCGCGCCGTTGGTGATCTCCGTCCTCGCGTCGTTGATCGAGCGGACCGTCGCCAGAAACGAGAGGATCGCCGGTCGCTGCTGCGGTAGCCGGCGGCGGACGCGAGTTTTCGACGGCGTCGAGACGCCGGACATGACGATCCAGTCGTATTTGGAGAGGATTTTCCGGTACACGCGGGCAGCGCCGCCGGTCTACGTCGTCGCCTACGTGTACATCGACCGGCTTTCTCAGAACCTCCCGGAGTTCCGCATCGGCGCAGCGAATGTCCACCGCCTGCTCATCACCACAATCATGGTGGCTTCAAAGTACGTCGAGGACATGTAAGTTTGTTCAATTTCCTCATCATCGCCGATTTGGAGTTCAACTTCATCGTTCGATTTCCCCTAATTTGATAAATTAAATTTTGCACCAGGAACTACAGAAATTCGTACTACGCGAAAGTTGGGGGATTGAGCACGCAGGAAATGAACAAATTGGAGATGGAATTTCTGTTCGAAATGAAGTTCAAATTGCACGTGAACGTGAGCGTATTCGAGAGCTATTGCAGGCATTTGGAGAGGGAGGTGAGCATCAATGGCGGATACCAAATCGAGAAGGCTTTGAGGTGTGCTCAGGAGATGAAGAAGACAACCCAAATTCAAGAACAAACCACGCGGAGCAATTATGACCGTCGGATTGCTCATCTTTTACTCTAGATTAATTACTTTATTTTATTTTTTGTTTTTTATTTTTCATTTTAAATGGGCCATGGTCCATATGTGGAAAATTGTACAGAAATTTTGTTTATAAATTATATGGAAAAATGTCAGTCTAGTTGAATAATGAAATAGGTTCACTAAAAATAGCCTATTTGGGTTCGATACAAAGTTTAAATAAATATTTTATTGAAAAAATAATAAATAGTTCAAGATATTTTTAAAATTTTAATTAAAAATAAAAGTAAATGAAGAGAGATAATATAATAAAATTAGTAGCATGAACGGCCAATCAATACGATAAACTTAACTTACATACTAATTAGTACTTCCTTCGTCTCACATATCATGTCGACGTTGCCATTTCTGTCCGTCTCACATACCATGTAATTTATGAAAATGATTATACACTTTAATGTTGAAACTTTTTAATTTTATTTTTTTTAAATTTTAATTAAACTAATTAGTTATTTTAATCTTAATTTATAATTATTTATATTATAGGATAATTATTTTCACTAATACAAATAGCATGTCTACAGTGTAGCAGATACTGTATGTGGGACGGAGGTAGTACTATTCTTTCTATTTATTTATTTATTTTTATATATCGTAAAAATCATAAATCGTTATTAACACAAATGGTTGTAGGATGTTAAATAATTAATTTTAAATAACACATAATTTTGTTCAACCATAAATTAATTTTTATATGTAGTATCATCTAAATATATTTAATCACTTTATGGAAAAAATTATTTTTTGTTTTATTATATATTTTTTTTTATTAATTTTGGTTTGTTTGTACTAAAATCATTTTAATGCTATAAATACTTGACAAAGGCTATAGAGTTTCAACACGGCCATATTTAAAAATGGTCATCAAATACGATCGTATTCAAACATATATAGTTATATTAGCGGTCTTATTCTAACATAGTCATGTTCGCTTTATTGTTTTATTTCAATATGTTCATGTTCATTGACCTCTTTAGAAAGTTTAATACTTCTCATTAATATTTATGTCGGATTTCATTAGACACAAATTTTTTAAAAAAAAGAAAAAAGAGTAAAAATAATAATTTTTTCTTATTACAGTAAAGAAAAATAGAAAAAAATATTATATTTTTATACTAAAAAGAGAAAGTAAATTTATTTATGATAACAAAAAGAATAGTAGAAATAAATTTAATTAAAAATAATAATAATGTAAAATATATTTTAAAAAATCCTAATTACATTTTTTTTTAAAAAAAATTCTTAATAAAAACTTTCAAGTGATGTTAATTCAAATTATAAATAAGAGTGGTATATTGTTTATATGATTTTACACACAAATATAACAGTGTACTGAATTCTTATATTCATATCTTGCTATATAAGTTTTATGAATGCACATACATATAACTTAAGATATATATATATATATACACACGCGCGCGTAGAACTACACGGGATTATGAGGGTCAATTGACCCCCCAGCCCTCAAAATATATGTATTTTTTAATGTAAAAAAAATAAAATTATGTATTCTATAGTAATTTGTTTCTTTTAATTTTTTATTTTGTAATATAAAAAATTATAAAAATTTTATTTGTATGTTGATTTATACTTTTAGTCTATCAATTTTATTTTTTATAGTAAAAAAATTATAAATTTTATGCAATTTTATTGAAATTTTTTTAAACATTTAAATTTTCCATTTTTTTTTAATCTTTTGTCAGGGAGTACTACGAATAAAAGAAAACAACATTGATTTTACTCTTTCAAACTTTTACCGGTGGTTCCGTCATTTTGTATATATATATAAATAATTATAATTAAATCTTACTATGTTAATTAGGTAACAACTCAGCACGTCCTTCTTGATTAGCAACAGACAAAATGAAGAATATTGACCAAATTTAACTAATTAATAATTAATTAATTAATTAATTAGTGTTCACCCTAACTTCCAAATTTTGTCTTTTTGCACGCTCTCAGAAACACTGTTTGTCGTATTCGGCGCATATATACAATTTTATAAAAATAAAAAATAAAATAAAATAAAATGTATTCGGTCGTGTATATATATGTAAAACCAGACAGTACTCACCAAACCGAGATATGATACGTGATAACAATTTTAATTGAATTGTTAAGAAAAGGACAAACAACCATATTAATATTTATTTTTATTTTTATTATTATTTTGCATCGACGAGGACGAAATGAATTATTGCATTATAGCTTCGACAAAAATATTAAAAAAAAAAAAAAAAAAAACAATTGAAGGATGGGTGATTGTCTGCGGGTTTGGGAGTTGATTTGAGGGTTTGAATATTACTATATTCGTTCGCCTCTTAATGTTTCATTTATTTTTTTCACGAGATCTTTAAATATTAATTATTATATAAAAATATTGTACAAATAAGGGAATATAACAAAAATACTTGTATTAGTGTCTTATAATATTATTTCTGCCCCTCTGCCCCATAAGTATGTATGTATTTGTTTTTTGTACTGAGTTTTAGAAATATCAGTATTATATTGGAATGTAGTAGGAATAAAGTAGAAATAATTAAAATAATCCTATTAGTATTGTGTGATATAAAGATAATGACATTTGTGTAATATATTGTAAGTTGTAAGGGTATTTGTAATGTTAGGTAAATAATACAATTACTAAAAAAAATGGATACTTTGTTATGGAACGCACTAAAATAGAAAAATGGATATTTTGTTATTGGACGGAGGGAGTACTATTATAATGACATTTGTACAAAAAAAATTATACAAATATAAATATATTTTTAATGTTAAGTACAATGACGTAAAAGATAAATAAAACACTTAGAGTCGGACGGAGAAAATAAAATTTTGAAGTAAAATTGTTATTTTATATTATGAAAATAATTTTTTTTTCATATTTTAAATATAAAATAAAATTTCAATGTAATATAACAATAAAAACTAGTAGTTAATTTGGTATTCTTAAAAAAAATTAAAAAAAAAATCATTAATTAACAATAAAATTAAGTTGGATTTTTAAATACACAAATAAATATAGAATAATACTCCATTCGTCCCAAACATCCTGCAACATTTTCAAAATAGGAAATAATTAATTATACTTAATCTTTACCCCACACTTTATCCCCTCACATCATCTAAATAAAAAAATAAAATATATATTTCTCTCTCCATCGTATCACATAATTTCTAAATTATCTTACTTAATACTACTTACCTAAAAATTCGTGCCAAAAGTAAATATTGCGCCTTAGGGAGTACTTTTTTGTGCGTGTTTATTTTTATTTTGAATTAAAATATTCATTTGCTGAACCTAATAGGTTGTGGCAGACATCAGCCATTGCTTACCGGACTACACCATAATTGAATACATATAATTTTGCAGTCGATGTTTTTAAAATTTAAAATATTTAACCTTTAATGTTTAAATTTTTTATTATATTATTTTTATATGGCCTATAAAAGATAGAGATAAAATAAATAAATAAATCTATATTTTAATATTTTTCTCAAATAAAATAAAATTATACTACTTTCATTCAACTCTAAAGGTCTCATTTATTTTTTTTCATGTTGATCTTTAAATATTAATTATTACATGAAAACGTAGTGCAAATCAAAAGAAAATGACAAAAATACTTATATTAGTATCTTATAGTACTATTATAATGACATTTGTGCAAAAAATTATACAAATATAAGGATATTTTTAATATTAAGTACAATAAAGTAAAATGTAAATGAGACCCTTAGAGCCGGATGGAGGGAGTAGATCCCATGGGTTGGCATGTACCGACGTGTTTTGAGGCGGGTGTTGGTTTTTCTAAACTAAACCCGAATTTGTCTTGTTTTGATTGTTATATATGTTTAATAGACATAAATGAAAATTAATAATTTCGGGTTCAAATTTGTTTTTAGATCTTAACTATCACACATGGGTCTAGCGTGACTTTTTTTGTCTGACTTAGTTTGTATGTTATTAAATTCGATCGAAAGTTTACCCAAAATATACTCAAAAAGTAACGATTGTAAATTTTTATGTCATAAAAAATAAAAAATAAAAATAAATGAGGAAGAAGCTTTTCAAATTAATCATTAGCACACGTGTAATATCCTGATCGACTCAAATCGGAATATTACCAATAATGAAACTAATGAGTTGGTTTTATTGAGTCGGCCCGATACGATATTAAAGCTTATATATAATCCAGTACGTATAATATATATATATATATATAAGCTTGTAATATATAATAAGGGTGAATATAGAGATAGTAGGAAAACATAGAGTAGGCTAACTCAACACTAATAATAATAATAATTATGAAAATGATAGTAATAATAATACTTCCTCCGTCTCATAAGTAAATATCAATTTGCTTTTTGCATGTATTTTAGAAATATTAGTATTATATTGGGATACAGTAGGAATAAAGTAGAAATGACTAAAATAAGTTTATTAGTACGTGTGATATAAAGATAATGGTATTTGTGTAATATATTATAAGTTGTAAGGGTATTTGTAATGTTAGGTAGATAGTACAATTACTAAAAAAGGAAATAAATATTTTGTTATGGGACGGATTAAAATGAAAATATGAATACTTTGTTATGGGAATAATATTGTTATTTTAAAATATTATTTAGGATAAAATATACTGACTTCGTATATATGGCCGAACGGCCCGATGTACAGCCCATATAATCGGCCCAAATTGAGGGAGATTTAGAGTAATTATTTGATTTCAGGTAGTTTGTTTGAAATATTAACATATTTTTAGATAGAATGAAATTTTAACCACTTCGAATTTCGGCCAATCATTTCAATAAGCGACCGGAAAATATTTCGAGAGACAACAAATATATTATAAGTTTATAATGTATATACATGTATGCGAATGTTTAAAGTTGGTGTAAATTTATATTCCGAATCATTGGATTTATCGAACAAATTTCGTAAACAAAATTACGATTTAATTAGCGGAAGCAATAATCGAATAGATCCAAATCAAATTAAATCGAAAACAAAACTGAAATATAATGCTCTCTTTGTCCCACTTCTCATGTCCACATTTCCATTTCCGTCCATCCCACTTATTTTGTCACTTTTTTTTTGGAAAAGAATTATACACTTTAATCTTATTTTAAA